AAAATAAAAAAATTAAAAAAAAACCTCCCTCATTTTTCACGTGTTACACCTACTTGCAATGGGGCTTGATTCACGTGGTATTGGGTCTGTCAAAACAACAATAAGAACTAAAATTCCTTTTGAGATCCGAGGCAGAGAGAGAAAGGATAAGATAACGACGTTTAATTCGCAATATATAAAACAGATTGGTTCCTGTCACCCTTCTCCATTCTCCGCTCTAGATTAAACGTTAATCATTAGAGCTGAGTGTTCTGAAATGGAGAACAAAGCAGATACCAAGAAGAGCTCTTCATCTAATATATTATTTCCAATGGCCTGTGGAGAAGGGCCATATAACTATGCCAAAAATTCCAACTACCAGGTAAAACTATATATAGAATTTCTTCCTCAATATAGTGCAAATATATAAACTTAAACATGCTAACCTTTTTCTTCTGGCAGAAAACGGGTTGGGATTTAGTAAAGAGATTAACTTCTGAGGAGATCTCCAAGATGCTTGACGTAGAGCATCTCATTTCGCCCGGAAATGTGTTCAGAATTGCAGATATGGGATGTTCCTTTGGACCTAATACCTTTTTTGCAGTGCAAGACATTATAGAAGCTGTAAAATCAAAACAGAACCAATCCAAACATATGGAGTTTCAAGTTTTCTTTAATGATCACAGCGCAAATGACTTCAACACTCTCTTTAGGACTCTTCCATCCGAAAGAAGTTACTTTGCAGCGGGTGTTCCAGGTAGCTTTTATGGTTCCTTGTTCCCCAAGGCCAGCCTGCATTTTGTTCTTTCCTCCTATACAATACACTGGATGTCGAAGATCCCAAGGGAAGTCCAAGACCAAAGCTCCTCTGTTTGGAACAAAGGGAGGATCTTCTATGGAAGCTCCAAAAAGGTTGAAGAGGCTTATGCTGCCCAATTTGCGAATGATTTTGAATCATTCTTGAGAGCTAGAGCGGAGGAGGTCGTGCCTGGAGGATTCATGACCCTCCTAATCCCCGGTACACAAAATGGAGCAAACCTTCTGAAGTGCACTTTAATCGCAATTTCAGAGCTTCTTGGCTCTAGCCTCATGGACATGGCAAAAGAGGTACTCCCTATAATTGTTCGTTTAAGTTATTAGCATAAGTACTCCATTTGATGGGGTTAATGGATTGAAACTAGGAAAAAAATTAGTAAGAAACGGAAAAACTCGTAGAACAACAGTTAAAAAGTAATTATAATCCATATGGTTCACAATCAGGGACGGGGAGTATATCAATTTTTATGTAGTACAAAATATGTTTTCACAAAATATGTTTTCGATGTTTGAGTTAAAAGAACCATTTTGAATTTAAAGAAAATATTTAAGAGTTCGGTAAATGGACTATTTTCTCTTTTTGAAATCAATTTTTAAAATAAATAATTTTATCTAGGTATGAAAAAAGACTATATATTAATTATACTTTTTTATACAATTCATATTCGATCAATTCAATAGTTGGATTTTATATTTTAATTTAAATTTTATTGATATATGTAACTATATTAAAAAAGAAATTATATTTTATATAAGATTAGTATTTATTTGTGACTAAACTTGCACAAAAAATTAGGTGAAAAACATTTCAGAATTAAGATATTTTAATAAAGTATTACAAAAAAATTAATATAATCTTCATTCTTATTCTAAAAATATGCTATTTTAGTTTCTTTATTTTAATTAAAGTTTATTGAAATAAATAACTTTAAAATATTTTTTGTACTTTTGTTTTAGATCCAACTCATTAACATTTTTTCTATTATTTTCTGTTATTTATTTAAGGATATTGGTTTGTATGTTATTTAAAAATAATAAAATATATTTAAATTAATTTAAAATTTGACATACATGTTATAAGCAGTATATTTACATATAAAATTAGTGATTAATATAAAAATTGACATTTTTTTGCACATAAAAATCGTGGATCAATCTCTATATTTGTGACTAAAAATATACA